TGAAGCGAAATGGGGTATGAAAATAATTTGCGGAGAAGTGATAATTATTTGATAAATGAGACATCGGCCTCACAACCAATTAATCGGAGTATTATTGAGATGCTAGATCTCAATAACACCATTTTTATTTGAAAACGTTTGGATAAACATCGGAAATATCACACAGAATGCTAGATTCTTATGATATTTCTTTATTCAAAAAGAGAGTATTTTAAAAATGAGAAGTCGAATAATGTATTATTTAAGGTGTATACCCCAATAATGATTATCCTAAAAATTCAAGAAGTGCTAGACTTCAAGGATTTAGTTTCTCATAATTTAATTTAAGAAATTATTTTAGTGAATAAAAATAAATTTACATAAAGACTAGAAAAACTACTAATTTTAAAATAAATTTGAAAAGAAAATACTCTAGTAAGTTAAAATAAAAAAAACTAGGAAGATATTAATTTTTATTAAAAATGAGTTTGAAAATATAAATTTAAAATGAAGATTAAAAAACATTTTGAAAATGAGTTTTTAAAAAAAAAAATATTTTGATATATGCTATAATTATTCTAAGTAAAAAACAAATATATTATAAAACAACATATGAAAGGTAAAACAGAGGAGGTGCAGTAGCCATAAAGGGGTGCACCCAGAAAAACAAATGGGCTCAGCCCAAAATCAACAACAATAACAAAGGGGGTGCCTGGAAAAAAAAAGGGGGTGTGCTTGGAATTCACGGTTGGGCTTTGAGCCCAATTCCAGAACAAACAGCAAAACAACATGGTGGGCATCATGAATACGGGGGTATGGATCAAAATGAGGAATTTGGGCCCAAGAGCCCACCGACCCAACCGGTGAACCCGAGGAAGCTTCATCGTTCTCACCTCAATCTAGTAAAAAAAAAACCTAATTTCTCCTCCTTCACTACTCCCGCCGCCGACCAACATTTTCCCCTCACCGTCTCAGTCTCAACCTTCTTTTCTCTATCCTCTACGCTTCCTCTCACGAACATGAACCAAATTTCTTTCTTCTCAAATCGAAATCTGTCTTCGTCACTTTCATTACCTGTAAACCCAAACGACCAACAAAAACAAAATATCAATCTATTCAGATTTACCGTTGAGTACCGTGTGTGTAAACTCCATTCGAGAGGTCGAAGCTTCATTGATGTTGAAGTTGATAAAGACGGATGCTGGATCGGTGCATGTTGCTATTCGCGAACAAAGACGGCGGGTTGTTCGATGTTCGCTGAAAGCGAAAAGGTTTTGAAGGTATAGACCGCATGCAGTTAATGATGGATCCAAGATTGTAGACTGGAGTTCTTGAGACGACGAAGATCTGGGGACTTGAAGTTTGGACCGTGATTCAGTGGATATAGATCTGGAGAACACGGTTGTGCGGATTTTTCACTGAGCCAGCACGAAATCGGAGTTGAAGTTGTGATGTTTCGGGTTTGTTAATGATTGATGTTCGTATGATGATGTTCAGATCTGGAGTTTTGTTGTTTGAATGATGAACCCGGATCAACGTTCAAGGAAATCTAGAAAAGAGGATGAATTTGATGAAGTTATAAAATCGTAGACGTGTTCGAAGGTCGTATGAACCGAATGAATATTCTAATATTTTCTGGAAAAAATGTTAAATGTATTGAGTTTGTATGAATAAATCTGGAAAAAAAATCGATGAACACTATGAACTGATGAACATGAAGAAAAAAAATCTGGAAAAAAAATGAAGGCGCGAATGAACATGATGAAGATATGATTTTCCGGTGGAATGATGAATTTTTCCGGTGACGTTTCCGGTGTGAGGGCAGTGGGATTTGATCTGCTAAATTTCTCCGGCGAGCGAAGTTGGTGTTTGCATGGATTTAGGGTTAGGGTTACTGTTAGGGTTAGGGCTACTGTTAAGGTTAGGGATACTGATAGGTGGCGGCGGCTGAGGTTTCAGTCTTGGGGCCGTGTCATTAATGCAGACAATCATTAGGCTTTATAGCCTGACAAGTGTCCTACAAATCTGACCTAATGGGCCTTGGAACGTGACATAGTGGACCAAATGACCTTATTGAAATTGGCAATTAATTAATGCTGTATTAATAAAACGTGAACACTCAAATAAAACCAAGCCTGATTAATTAATAAAAAATCTAAACCTAATTAAATCAAATCCTGAATAAATAAATAATAAAAAAAAGATAATTATTAATAATTTAAATAAAAGAATAAAACGAAAAAAAAAATAAAATAATAAATAAAAACTTACATCTTTAAAACAATCTAATTAACTAAAATCCTAAATATTAATCTACATAAAGAAAGATAATTACTACTATTAATCTAATTAAAAATCTTAACAACTATACACAAAAGAAGTTTAATTTTTAAAAAACATAATGAACTCTATCTTAAAAGAAAAGAAATATTCTATTCTAATTAATATAAATATTAAATAAAAGCAAATTAATCCTAATGTTAACTCAAAAAGAAAAGTATCTATCTAAAGAATAATACAAGCTATTCAAATAAATAAATCTATATCTAATGAAAAAAAAGGTGATAAAAAACAAAAAGGGAAATATTAAAAAAGAATGAAAATGAAAGTAAAATGACCAAAATGCCCTCTTCAGGCTACGTGCCACACTTTTATTGGATAAACTGGATAAAAATTTGAAAAATGCCCAATTTCAGGTGGACACGTGTCTAAACGACAAAAAACAAAAAACGCGAAAATAAATACAAAAAGGGTAGGACAAATTTAGGGTATGACACACACAAATCAAAGGTACCAAGAGATTTTCACACTATATTGCAAACCAAACAAAACAAGAGTGGTTTTCAACACTTTCTTGACGAAATTGAGTGAAAGATGCCAACTTTTGATAGATTAAATAAGTGAAATTTGGCATCTAACAGTGCCTCCTCAAGAGAGTAAGAGAGAAGAAGGTTTTTGAAATTTTTCAGAAATATTTTAACTCACTCCATCGTGTGGATTTTCACCTATGTCTCCAATTATGTAGATATATCTTTAGATGCATTTTTTTTACACTTAAAGAAAGTCATTTTTAATGGCGTTGCATATATTGGATTTGATTATTTATGGAGGTGCATCTCCGAAACTGTGTCGTAGTTATATTTTCAACAAAAAAAACTAGACACAAATTTAAAAAAAAAAGAGCATTCATAACTTAAAATGAGCATTACAACGATGATTTAAACAGAAAATTAAATATTATATTTCAATATTTCGGTGGACGCTTGCACATCTATAAGATATCTTTGACTGACCTTTGTACCGTCGCTTTCAATTCAAGCAGAACTTTCTCATCGAAATCGAAATACGTCCTCGACATGGATATAATATCCGCTCGAGTCTTGAGCTCAAATTTTTTGAACGCAATGTTCCCTTCGTTATTAACAGAAAGTGAACGCTACTCGAACTTCACAACTCTTTCCTTTGTCTCCACAAGGTAAGAGATAATGGATTTCTTCAATGATATCTACAAGGGAGATGAGATCGGTGAGCTTAAACGTTCTTTCGGGTGTAGACCGGCCGAAGTTGTAGACACTTGCGACATACCAACAAATGTTTATATCACACATTTGAGATATTTTGAATTTTTGTGAAGTATACCACAAGAACACTTAAATTTATAGAAGACCTAATTCAATATAGACCACTCATTGATTCTCATTCTTATTTTAGATATATATCTCCAAAACAAAACCATATTATCTTGTTCCGGATATGCATCTACGGAACTTCCCCTAAACCAATAAAAAACAAAGCAAATAATAGAACCTTTCAGAAATGTATCTCCAAAACTTTTTCTGATACATTTTCAAAACAGAATCATATGACAGAGTTCATAACGACCAAATATGCATAAAGAACAAATATGAATAATAAGTGAATATGTAACACTTCATATATATTGAGACACAGTTATATACAATTATTTGTCCGATTACACAAGAAATCAAAACGAATCAAAACATGTGTCGCCGGCTAAATCTATAGGTGGTACCCCCTTGGACTTTTGTGCATTCGATTCCTTTTCAATGTTGTTCAATCTATCGAATTCTTGCATCCTTTTCACTAAAATAATTCGGCCGCATCTCGACATTTGTGATTGAATGAGCCGTTCACTCCAGTTGATGAGCTGTAATTCTTCTAGAATCCTAAGAATCTTTATTCAGGTTTTCTTGCTTTCCTCACTCATAATCGTTGAGGTAATTGGATCTGTTTCTGGTTCTTTTGGACTTTGCTTCTTCATTGAGCTGTTCTGTCTCATTGGGCCTTGGTGTTGGTGGTTCATCACTAATTTTAGAGGTGATAATCAGTGGTGTGCTAACAGAATAACTAACTGAAGTTCATGCAAGATATATCTTGATTGCACCATAGAAACTTTAACTATATTATAAATCTCCAAGAGTCTCATAGATCCATCTAATAGTTCATCAACCTGTTTCTCGTGGCAATACTGGTTGAGTAATTGTCAATTGGAGCAGCTTATCATTGCTTTCTTGCAAATGATACATGCCATTGAGTGTTTAAGTTATTGAAGATGATGAACACGGAAAGTGGATTATGTGTCTGTAGGGTGAGAAGCACTTCGATTTTGATCATGTGCGTGGTGTGAGTCATGTTCCACCAAGTGACATGCCTAGCAGCATGCAGTTGTTGCTTTAGCATCACAATAGTATTGCACACGTGAACATAGTTATGTTTATGATTAAAACACAATTGTTTTGGTGAAGCATTTGCATTGAAAATGTTATAATCACGCTAATGTGTCAAAGTATGAGTTGGGAAGATTCCTTGGAGGAGACACGGCTTTAATTTTTATGTAATAATGTTTGGATTCAAATCTTGATTAGTTAGCCTCATTGATATGCGAATAAAAAGAGATTCCTTATGTCATGTAACCCCTATAATATAAGTTGTGAATATGACATTGCTCAATTCAACTTTCAAACTAAGACTTGTCTTTTTCTTCTCTTGAGCAAAACGAAATGGCAGCTTCTTCTCCTTTGAACACACAATCCAATTTCCATGGTCGCTCAATTAGCCTGCCCTCTAGACCACACCCCCTCATTCTTAAATGCAATCAACACTTGGAGGCCTTATTAAGGTCTTCTAATGAAACCTCCTCATACTCACTTTGCCATAAGATTGATGGCTTGCGAGATTTGATCGAGTGTGTAGAAAATTTGATTCAGCTTCCACTAACACAAGATGTACTTGTCCATAACCAGCATCAAGAAAATTGGGTAAATAACCTCTTGGATGGATCCTTAAGGCTATTAGATGTGTGTAGCGCAGCGAAAGATGCTGTAATTCATACAAAAGAGTGCACGAGGGAACTTCAATCCATCATAAGAAGAAGAGGAGGTGGAACGGAGGTCACTGCAGAGGCTAAGAAATTCTTGACATCTAGAAAGGTTGTGAAAAAGGCCGTCTCGAAAGCCTTGACAAATATGAAGGTTAACACCAAAAGGTGCAACTTGTTATCTACAAACCAAGATCATCAAACAGTGGCTTTGATTAAACTATTCCATGATGTTGAAGTGGCTACACTATCTACATTTCAAACAATCTTGCAATATATCTCGGGGACTACACAATCAAAGTCAAACAGCTGGGGTTCCATTTCGAAGCTAATGCAACCCAAAAGAGTTGCTTGCTCGCTATTGACAGATGAAAGTGAATTTTCCCAAGTGGATGTAGCATTGCAGTCTTTTGTATTTACCAAGACAAGAAAAGTTGAAGGCATCAATGATCTGCAAAACCACTTGGAGAAAACCGAGTCATGCATTCAAGACCTTGAACAAGGACTTGAATTTCTGTTTAGACGTCTCATTAAAATCAGAGTCTCACTTCTTAATATCCTCAACAATTAGTACAACTTCTACGGGAATCGAAATTTTGTAATGATATAGATACACTTGTACATGGAAATTAGCTTATGTGTAAATATATAGCAATAATAAAACGGTACTTCTTAATAATTTTCCTGTTCCAGAATCAAAAAAAGATCCATTTGAACTTTGTCTTGTCTAGTTTTTCATAGAGACTCTCATAACCTGACTCCAAGCTTATAAACAAAATTCAAATTCAAACAAGTGTCAAACAAATCAAGGAAACTAATGAATACATATTATTAATTACAGCGCTTTCTGTAAAAGTGCTGCTAACGGGTAAAAAAAATAAAAATAAAAAAAGTTGACTTTAGAAAGCGCTTTTAGAAAAGCGCTGCTAAAGGTGAGAGTTTTGTATTACAAAAGAAAGCACTTTTTAAAAAGCGCTGCTAAATGGGGGACCTACGAAAGCGCTGCTATATGAGTGACCTACGAAAGCGGTTTGAGAAAGCGCTGTTATATGGATAACCTACGAAAGCGCTGCTAAAGGTGGGAGTTTTGTATTACAAAAGAAAGCGCTTTTTGTAAAGCACTGCTAAATGGGGTACCTACGAAAGCGCTTTTATAAAAGCGTTGCTATAGGTCCTGCCTACGGCAGACCTTAGAGAGCGCTTTTATAAAGGGCTGCTAAAGGTGCATGCAAAAACACTGCTATATGTTTAAGTATCATAAATTTAATAAAACTCCGCATATTCAGAAACAGAAGCAGTCGTGTTTAAACTATTTCTTTCCCATTCGCGATAAACCCTACTCCCTCCGTCCGACCACTTCCGTCCGTTGCACCGCCGTACCGCCTCCGTCCGTCCGACCACTTCCGTCCGTTGCACCGCCGTACCGCCTCCGTCCGTCCGACCAGTCTGTCGTCTTCGTTGTTTCCGCCGACTGTCATAGTCTCTCCGTCCGCCGCCACCTCCTCTGTCCGGCCATTCCACCATTTTCAAGGTGAAGTTTTTTTAAAATGTTACTTTTACAATTCATAGTGTGGCTTGAGAACTTATTTTAATGAAGTTAATATTGAATTTTTTTTGTTCTTGATGTAAATGTATATGTCAATATTGAAGTTAATATTTAAGTTTTTGTTCTTGATGTAAATGTATATGTTAATGTTGTTGTTGTTGTTCTTGATGTTGATGATGTTGCAACAAGAATGTTGTTGTTGATGTTGTTGATGTTGTTGCTGTTGTTTTTGTTGGTGAAATAATTTTGATAGTCAATTTTGTATATATGTTAATGTTTTTGTTGTTGATGAAAACTTGAATTAAGTAACGATAATGTTGTTGTTGATGTTGTTAGTGTTGATGTTAATGATGTCGATGTTGTTAATAAAAGTAAATGAATTAATTTTGTCTGTTAATTTTGCATATACGTTAATGTTGTTGTTGATGGAAACTTGAATTAATTGTTGAATGTTGTTGATGTTTGAATATTGGTGATGTTTGAATATTCGCGAATTACTTGTTGAATATTGTGATTTTGTTGAGTAATTTCTTGAACTTAAGTGATAAAGTGGTTATATTAGGTACAACTACTAACTTAGTGAATCTGTTATAGGGATTACCTGTGAAGAGCAAGATTGTGATTGTTTCCAAGAATCCTATTGTGTTGTTCTAGAAGTTGGTGATTTCTCTACAGGTGCTACAGGTATTCGCTGTTTTTGTTTAGCTTTCTTAGTTTAGTTTAGCCTACTTAATTAGTATGGATAAAAAATGGATGTCAGTTATAATTAGAAGACTTGTTTCAATGAAAGACCTTAAGTTAAAGAGTTTAAAGACACGTGATTGTCGTGTTATAATGGAACACTTTCTACCAATAGGTATACGTTCTATTTTGCCAAAAAAAGTGAGAAGCGCAATAACTAAATTGTGTTTTTTCTTCAGGTCAATTTGTAGTAAGGTGATCGATCCTGCGATCTTATCAACATTGCAAAAAGAAATTGTTATTACTTTGTGTGAGCTTGAAAAATATTTTCCTCCATCATTTTTTGACATAATGGTACATCTAGTTGTTCATCTTGTGAAAGAGACACAATTGTGTGGACCAGCTTATATGAGACCCTGTTGAACGTTATATGAAAATATTGAAAGGGTGTGTGAAAAACCAAAGTCGACCAGAGGGATGTATTGTTGAATGATACATTGTTGAAGAAGCAATTGAATTTTGTACTGAATATTTGTCCAATGTTCAATCCATTGGTCTCCCAAAATCTCATGTTGTTGAAAAAATAGTAGGAAAACAGTTAATTGGAAATAAAGTTGTGACAGTTTCAAGGGATGAACGAGAGCAAGTGCATTTGTATGTTCTGCACAATGACATTGAGGTTGAGCCGTATGTTGAAATGCACAAGGATGTTCTCCGAGGTTTAAATCTGAATAGAAATGAAAATTGGATAGTACGTGAGCACAATCGAAGTTTTATAACATGGTTCAAGGATCATATATTTTCAAAGTTTTATTCTGATCCCGCTTCAATAACTGAAAGGTTGAGATGTTTAGCATATGGTCCAAGTTTGCATGTGTTTTCTTAAAACGCATACGTAATTAATGGATACACATTTTATACCAAAGAACTAGATGATAAAAGTACAATGCAAAATAGTGGTGTCACCGTGCTTGCTGAAGCAATGCACATTTCAAGTGTGAAGGACTTAAACCACAAATATGCAAATCTGTCATATTTTGGGGTTATCGAGAGCATTTGGGTGTTTGATTATGATAAGTTTCAGATTCCTATCTTTGGATGCAAGTGAGTTGAAAATAATAGTGGCATACGAATGGATAAGTCAGGATTTTTGCAAGTGGATCTTAATAAGGTGGGGTACAAAGATGAGCCTTTTATTCTAGCCACGCAAGCTAAATGGTCGATAGTTCTTTATTCCAACAAAGTAATCGATGATAACATTGGAGATTAGGGTGATGTTGATGTTGAGAAGGAATCTTATATTATAGATGATCAAGATGAGAATATTAGACTGGACGAATCATATATTAGAAATGATCATAACGGGGGAATTTGGATCAATCAATTCGTCCGTGTTGTTAAGAGACAAGTAAACCACGTTTCAATGAAGAAAAGAAAGATATGTTAGTGACAATGGTACTTGTAAAATTACATATTATATCATTCAATAAAACTATATATTATGTCATTCAATAAAATTATATATATGTTTTTCTTATTTATATATTTCTTATTTATACGTTTTTCTTTTCATATATATTTGTCATTTATGTCATAATTTGGTTTTTTTGAATTACAGGTATTATGGCTACCAACGAGGAAAAAATCACATGATACTTCTAAACATGATGGAAATGAACCGGCACAAGACGTGGAAGGAGATATTACAAGAGGAATAACGATTATGAAAAAAATCATTCGTGCGAGAGATAAAGGTATAAAGTATGATGTGCATTGGAATGAAACAAACCAATTAATTGAGCCTAACGGTGCGATGTTGACAAGTTACATTGGAGCACTTGTTCGTTCGCAAATTCCAATCACTTGCGATAATTGGAGAATTCATTTGTTAAAACCGGCTAAAGAAAAAATATGGAGCGAGATATAGGTATGAGATCTGATATTTTTTAATTATGTCAATGGTTATGTCATTAAATTACTTATACTAACATATTATATATATGTTTATTTGTTTGCAGAGATATTTAAATATTGATGACGACTGGAAAAAATATTGTCTTCAATTGGCCGAAAAACGACTAAGAGTATTTAGAGCGTTTTTAACGAACAAGTTTCTTAAAGATTCTGATGTAAAATTTGTCGAATCAGAGCGTCCAAAGAAGTATGCTGATCTGATTTCAGTTGAAGAATGGGAAACATTTGTTGCCAAGTGAAGAACCCAAGAATTTCATGTAATTCTAACTTATCATGAACAATGCATAATATATATATATATATATATATATATATATATATATATATATATATATATATATATATATATATATATATATATATATATATATATATATATATATATATATATATATATATATATATATATATATATATATATATATATATATATATATATATATATATATATATATATATATATATATATATATATATATATATATATATATATATATATATATATATATATATATATATGTCTTTCACATGAGTTCTGATATGACTTAAACTTGTTTTTCAGGCTGTGAGTGTTGCACCCTAAAATTTGCTCAACCTTATTCACTTGGTTTATGTTTCAATATCATTAGTATTTGCATATAGAGTCATGTACATAGGTTACTCATCTGCATAGCATAAGCATAGCAAGTCATTCAACAGGGGTCCAATCATTATTATCATCTCTAGAGGTCTATCAAGAGGTTATTATCCTAATTCAATCTCATTCAAGTCATCAGAAAAGAATTTGAAAGCAGAGAGGTCAATGGATCAAGCTTTGAGTCTATCTCCTATCTGAGGGTATATGAGGATCAACAAGGGAATTATGAGCTGTGAGTTGAGCAGGGGGAGTACCTAGACATCTGGGAGGACTTAGAAAGTCATTTGGAGAAGAAAACAAGTTGTTGATGTGATCACAAGAATTGCAGTTGAAGACAGTCAACTAGGGTTTCATCTGGGTCAACCCTAGGTCAATTGACTGATTGAAAGGCATTAAGGGCTATTGGGGAGATGTGGGGTTCATCATTTGACATGGAGAATAAGGATATGTTGTTGTGCTAAGAAGAATTCAAGAGAAATCAAGGAGAAGAGGAGTTTCTAAATTAGGGTTTCTATGTAAAATCCCCTAGTTTAGGTCAAATTTCCAAGCCAGATAAGTCAAAATGCAAGCTTCAAATGGATCCTTGGCCAACATGAAAATTGTAGAGGATCTCAAGACCTTTAATTTGAGTGGTGGAAGACATTGAGGAGATTTATAGAACTCAAGTTATGGTCCTTGCAAGTTACAGGTCATCTGAGGTATCTGAAAGTTTGTCTGTGAAAGTAACTTGACT